CATGAAAAAATATTTTCGGTATTTTTTTGAGGTACGATGTCTAGATAATTTTCAGCAGACTAGGATTATTCAAAAATCTAAAATGCAAACATTTTTGTTTTTCCGTATGACTAGATAACCCAAAGTGCCCTCTACCAATCGCATCTCTTTATCTATTATTGCTTAAGTGTGACGCCAGATTTCCTTGAAGCGTCAGGATTGCGCTGGCTTGCCTTGTGCGGCCTTGGGAAGTGGTTGAAACAGGCAGCGTTTGTTTTTTGAAAGAAAATTATAAACCTATATTACCTGAAATTATTCAGTTTTGGCTATTTTCTCTGAAAAAACATTATGAATTATTTATTTAAAATTCAAGTAAATTGCTATTCTCGAAATCATTCAGGCTATTCTTCGAAAATCACTCTGCAAGGTAGGGTAGGGCCAAGGCTTTATCTAAAAAAAATATATCGTCGGTACAACATTGAGGTCGGTCGCTAGCGACAGTTATTTTAAACTCTTTATTTTATCGGATGCAAGACACCCATTTTTGGTGCTATTGGCGGTATAAAGAAGATAACAACAAAGACTGGACGAAGAAACGGTCGATGACATTATGTTGCTGCGAAATTTTAAAAAAGAATTTTTATCAATATGATTCATTTATTTAAAAAAATAAATGAAAAATTCTCAAATTTTCAAAGGGTATGGTAGGGCCAGGGCTCAAAAACTTTTCACATGGTAGGGCAAGGACTCTGTAAACAGTTACTCTACACATCTCTAGACCAGCTGCTCTTCTTCATTGTCGATCCAACTCAAACCCAACTCAAGCCGATTTTTTTACGACTCTACAATAAAATTTCTCAGACTTGTCTTCCATTCGGTAGCGCGAGTGTTAATTTTTGGTACAGTATGTACTTACCAATTAATAAGTTGTTCACCAATATGATCATTATAATAGTGAATACAATGAACATCAAATACATTATTGGATAAAATTCGATTGTCTTGTCATCATCGCTAAAAAATCTTGACTCATAACTGAGTTCGGGAAGCATCAGTGCTAAAAGAGGAAACAGGTGGACACTCAAGTTAAGTAAAACGTATTTCTCACACCTGTCTTAACCAATGACAAGAAAATGGTACCAAATACAGCTTGATTTCTTATGAGCATATAGAACGAAAAGCCAAAGCTACACACCAAGATAACTAGCATCGGGAAAAACCACAGAAATTTTTGAACAATAACCTCTAGCATCACAACGAATATGCCAAATATGGGTACCGATCGAAGATAAGCCAAAAGAGTTAACCAGCCGAGGAAAAGAGCGAACGCGCCAATTTGAAACTGCGCCGGGCATTTTAATTGAACCGAATTTTGCCACGGTTCATCGTAGAGATAGATAAAACTGAGCAATAACGCCATTACTTCCATATAGAATAGAACCTTTGTTTTAAAACGGTAGACTCCGATGATCAACATCAGCCCTTTGATGACGTGAATCCACAGCAGCACGTATAGAAAATATTTCAAACTATTATCAGCCCGATCTTTCGGGTAGATCTTTTGCGATTCTAATGCTTTACTGACATTTTCGCACGAGTTGTTCCATTGAGATCCAACCACCGCGTAGAGCCAATGAGGTTGAGGTGTTTTTAATACGGCCCACGTATATAAACCAAGAAACAATGAATAAAACCCCAACGATACCAGAAGAAGTCCGAGACTAAACCGTTGCAGTTTTGCATAAATTAACAATTTACAGACCGGGTGTTGTAGGAGCCGACAGTGTTGAATAATCCGGCTATGATCTCTGACAATGTCATACGACTTTGCACATTGGGTGATGACCGATAATACCTGATTATTCACGAGTTCATGCGGATCGCGTGTGTAAGCCTGTTTGATATTGTTGTCGTCTCGATAGCGACCACGAAACTGCGAGAGAAAACCACCTAGGACAGAGCGGCGATTTTGATCTTCTTGTTGCTCGTATTCGTCCTCCTGTTTTTCTTCTGTTTCGGCTCTATTTCCTCCTAGAAGACGAAAAACGCATATAGCGCAACTCGCATACTCTTCTGAAGGCTTACCACGTTGCCATCGTTTAACAGAACATTCATCTTCTAGAAATTCAAAATCGCATATCATTCGTCTTCGTTGATTTTCATCACCAATATCGCGTAGGAATTTGTCCAATACTTTGTGCGTCAATTCGGGCATGAAACGGACAAATTTTCTCATGGGTGTACAGACCTTTTTGAAATTGGGCGCATGAAACTGGGCATTTCTCATCAATTGACGCCAAATACCATCGTGTTCTTTGAGTAATAATGCACGAACAAAACAGGTGTTCTTTGATATAATAGCCACTTCCAGACAGTTGCGACCAAAACCATCACAAGCGAACAAATTGGCTTTGTACTTTATTAATGTGAGCAAAACTTGAACGGATGAATCTTTCAACAACTTTTTATCATCATCATCGACAGTTTCCTGTTCCTCCTCCTCCTCTTTTTTGTCGGCTTTTGACGCTACCAGTGTGGCTGCACAATGTAAAGCCGTTGAATCATTGACGTCGCGAGCGTTAATATCAGCGTTACATTCGAGCAATAGAGTGACTATTTCAGCGTAACCTATATCAAAAACGAGTTATACTGTAGAAAAATGTTCGTAAATGGACTTCCTGGAGATCTAAATGCTACCTATGATCGGGCATCATGGTGTTGATCCTTCGTACCAGATGCAGTGGTTTGGATGATCCTCGTCATCCCAAAAAAAAAGCTATTTTAGGAAGCATAGAAAAAATAACGTTCTGACTTTTTACAATACAGAAGAGTCTTTTTATGCTGTTTAAAATTCAGTTTTTGTTTTTTGATTTCTGGATACAGTTTTAGCTAAACCCCCCCTCACATTAGAAGCCCACCCGCATTAGAAGCCCAGTCTGGCAAGAAATTTTTTGAAAATTACCCCTGCCTCCATAGGGTACTTTTCGAGAAAATTTTGCCTTTCTTTCAGGACATAATAGAACCCCACTGGACTCCTAATATGGACGGGGGTTTACTGTTTTTCCAATGAAATAGGCCAAATTTCACTGTGAAGAGAGATCGTTGCGAATCACGAAATGCATGCTTACTTCATCCTTGTTACTGACTGACATCCGTGGTAAACATATTTCGATTTAATCTGACGAAGTAAATCTCCGTCAACTTTTCTCTAGAACTGTTTCAGACTGGAATGAGCCTTTTCCTACTGTTGGCTACAGTTTTAAACCTATTAAAACCAAGTTTTTGCATTGAGCAAGGCAAAAACACTTTTTCCGATTCTTAGACTAAATGTAGAAACTAAATTTGATTTTTTTGTGTTAACGATTATTTCCCTATTTAGGTTTTTAAGATATAGTTTCTTTTTGTAGAGTATATGGACATGAAAGTGGGTCCCGTTTTTGCAAGACGGCATAAATACTACATTCATTCAGTTATTTTTGTCATTATTAAGCAGCTGTTTACCTTTTTCTGCTGCAAGATGCAACGATGTTTTCATGCCACTATCAACATCTTTTATTACTTTTCCACGATCAATAAGATTCATATTTTTCATAGTAAGAAAGTATTTAACCACGTCTTGTCGTCCATATTGAACGGCTTGATGTATCGATGATCGTTCTTGATGATTTTTTTTCATTATCATATTTCGTACTGTATCCGAAGCTCGATCCGTAACACGTGCAACCGATGAGAGAAAATGGAAGATATAACTCTAGAGACTGTAAAGTTCAACAGCTTTAGAAATTAATGTTACCTGCCTTACAGTCGAAGCCAACGGGGAGAATACATACTAAATATACGATGAATGGGTAGTGACGGCTGATGTATGCTGCTCATGCTATTTACCTGTTTGTCGATCCCCACATTGTACTTGTTCTCAATTTTTTTAGTACAAATTGCTTCTAATTTGATTAATTCTTCGCATATCTTAGGATTTCCGATTTTAGCTGCAATGTGTAGTGGTGTTTCACCTGTGTCGGCTGTGCCACTCATGAGCAGTTTTTCGTGCATGAGCTTGATCACGTGTTCATTATCGACTTTATTAACCGCGGCAATCAATGCCTGCAGCACTTCTAGTCGTGAATACTCTGCACAAATATGAAAAATATTTCGATTTGTTAATGTTTCGATGAACGCGTCTTGAGCGACGCCTAATTGATGACGAACTAGATAGTCAAATAGAATGACGACACATCGAGGATGATTTTTATTTGCAGCAACTAGAATCGGAGTGAAGTTCTGCTGTATTTCACGCCTCTCGACGGCTTGCTGTTGAATTTCGTTGTGTATGAGATCTTCGACAATACCATCGCAGTCATACAGACAAGCAACATGCAGCGGCGTCAAACCGCGATCATTTGTAGGGATTCGTGGATAATGTGCAAAAATACGGGCGGCTTGTTTACTGATATGATCTCATAAATGCTTTGAACAACTGAGGTTTCAGGGTTGAATTCTTTGTTTAAGAGACGGGCGGGGATTTTGTCATGTTGATACTGCTTGGCGATATCCAAGGCGGATTTATTATTTGCCGTTCGTCTGTTAATATAACGTCTATTCTGAAATTAGTATTAACACTTGTTACACTTTAGGACATTTAAAAACCTCTTTGCTGAGCTAAGGTCAAAATTCTATTAATAAATAATGTTGTTTTAATAAGCGATGGACTTCAGGTACGTGAGGGTTACCGTTGGACTACCAGGAGGCGACAGAATTTGACCGCAAAAGAAGACCATCCTATAGAATTCGACTTGCCGGACAAAATAGAAGATCAAATGGTTTTCTATTATGGGCTAGAGGTGTTAGCCGCCGAGAAAATTTTGATTTGCCGCCGAGAAAACTTTGATTCGCCGCCGCTGAAAATAAAACGTCAGCGGAAACTTATCCGCCGCCGACGCCGACCATATCTAGATATTCTTTTGCTATTTTGCTTCACAGTACAATATTCGAAGGTTGGCCCATGTATTCCAAAACATTTTTCGCCGCCGCCGCCGTAAAATTGATCGGCTAACACTTCTATATGGGGCACAGTTTTTCTATAGAGCAGGCGGACATATGCTGTGAAAGTGGTACGACAGTCTATAAACAGTTTTGTATAGGTTTCCGAATATGCTCTTCCCAATAATGAGATTTCCAGAATCCAAAAATAATTTCTTGTGGGTTTTCTGGAGTTCGGATCTCTAGAAAACCAATACAAAATATGTTTGCATTTCGAAAATCTCACCATTGGAAAGAGCACATTCGGAAAAACTATACGAAAGTGTTTATTTCACACTATTACTAAAACAAATATCCAAATTCCCAGGCAGAATTTGCTACGGGGAGGCTTTCGGCTATATAATTCAGATTGATCGAAAATATTTCTACAGAAGCTATACATCACTCGATGCGGTTTTTCACGTTAATTCCGAATATCTTCGTTTTTCAATACATGTGCTTCTGTACTGCGAAAATCGCAAAATACCTCAAAAACCGAAAAGTTTTGGAAAATCTATTTCTAAATATGAAACTCGACTTAAATTTAATTATATTTAGTAATCTTACAAGCGCACACAAAAAAAACTCGCATATAAAAAATCGGAGAATTGTGACAAAATGTTGTCTTTCTCCACTGTGAACGAGCATGACTAGTAAGAGGATGGGTGACCACTTCTGAAGATCCAACCATGCATTATTATGGAGTTTGTCTCTACTTTATAGTGAATTGTAACGTATTGTCTTTCTCTATTGTGTCAAAACTACGATTAGTAAGAAGATGGGTGACCACTTTCCAAGATCGAACCATAAGTATGGAGCTTTTCACATTTATCTCAACAGTTGTTGAGTGAAAGTTACTAGATACAGTTTATGTTCAAAAGGATGAGTCATTTCTGATAGAATGAAAAGAAATACTTAATGTAGTGAAGCAGAACATGTGCATTATACAGTGATATCGTGCTTCGCTCTCGTCGTATGGAAGTTATCGTGCTTTGTTCGATAAGAACAAGGAATAGTAACACCCTCATACGGTGTGGACGGAGTTTGTGGTGTTGCTTGTCGTGCGTTAACTCTGTCTTTCTCAAAGGAAACCTCCTGACGAGACCCTTGAGAAAGGTCGAAACCGGTCGTGGTATCTTCTCTGATTCTTTCAGAAATGAATTCTGTCTGACTCTCTAGTAACTAAGAAGGCGGTTGTAAAATTACTAAATATAATCTATTTCTAAATCTGAAAGTATAGATAGATAGTTGCAGAACATGGAGACGAACATTTGTATATAATTTTAAGTTGAGTTGGACCTTCGGAAACTTTCGGAGTTTTATTTCATTGAGATCATGTTTCGGAAACACGGTTCAGTTTGGGAAAACGCTTTTTTTGGACGTTACAATTCACATTCAAATGATAATCTTTTTGAGCTGAACTTGCGCTGTATTCGAATATGTACGTTCTGGAACTTCACTTTCGCTAGAAGACTATAGAGTATCAACAAGCTTATACGCATAGGCAATGTAACTCCGACCAGTGGACTACGGTGTATGGGTCCACGCAGAGAGTTAGTAAATGTGTTAGACCCAGAACAGGTTCTCACCATTACTATATATAATACCTGATTCCTTTCAAAAACCATGTTTTGTATTGTTAAATATGAACCCACATCGGACTTTCTTAGGTTTGCGGCCAGAAGTAACTCAGTAATATCCGGCGATTCATTGAAACGACACGCGTAATGCAGTGCTGTCGCTTTTTGTATGTCTAATTTCTGAAATAGAAGAAACCGTCAAGCACGGCATACGATTGTGGGCGTTATTCCTACGTCAACTCGTGCATCATGCTGAAGTAGTAGTTTGACATTGCTAAGATTCTCTTGCATCACTGCATGATGCAACGCTGTTCGACCTTGATCATCTTGTGCATCAATTTTGAGTCCTTTCTTGGCGTAACTGAGCAAATAATTGAGAACGGATGGATGACCCTATATAAAACAAAAATCAATGACTTCAGCAATCTTTCTTAATACAATATGGGATCGAACCACAGATGCGCAGGACTGTATTAGTTCCGGTGCCGGTACCATGGTCATGAACAATTAAGCAGAAAAAGACAATAGCTTGACAAAGTCGGCATTTTCGCAAAAAAAGCGAAAATATTACAGTTGAGTTTGAAACATTTTCTAAAAGATCGAGAAAATTTGCTTGCAAAACTAGAAATAATTAAAACTTTGACCCATCGGAGCCAAACTGTTTTCAAATGGCACCCGACCCCTTGAAAAGTCCAATACAGGTCATCAAATTCAGACCCACGACGACGAAAACAGTATATTTCTTATCGACTGATAGGGGTTATTCCAGCCTTTCCCGTGGCAGTTTTTAGCTCACTAAGGGGCAGTTCTACGGTGTATGGACCACTTTATACACAGCTTTGTTTGCAAACTTGGAGATATACTTCATTCAAAAGCTCATGAAATTCTGATTAAGAAAATGTCATTTAAAAAGCTTTTAAATATCGGCGCGATATTTTTTCGCTTGACCGTAGATATTATCTTTATCTTTTGTTACAAACTTAGTGTTAAGTAATTATTACTAGGAAATAAGTAATAAATCTTATTACCTTATTACTTATTACTTTTTCCGAGTAATAATCTTTCGTTACTTTACTTATCACTAATAAGAAGAAAAGTAGATCTCCCCGTAATAAAAGCCCCGGGGGCTTCTAAACTGCCCAATCGTTCAAAATTTTTACGGAGGTGGGTCTTCTAATAGGTCCCACTATTTTTCAAGGGTTTCTCGTACAAAATTTTATAACAACTTTTAGGGTTTTCCAGAGTTTTGCAGAGCTTTTCGAAGGGATTTTAAGAGGATTTTGAGATTCCCATGCTGGTATGTAAACTTTAAACGAGCTTTTACCTTAAAATCCTGAAAATTTGACAGTTTTATTTTAGAAATACTAATAAAACTTTCCGAAAATTTCAAAACTTTTTTCAAATGAGCGCGGCTTCTAATACATTTTTCACATCGACCCCTCAAAGTGGGGCTTCTAATGAGGGGAGGGGGGGCTTCTATTACGGGAGAGGTTTAATGAAAATTAATAGGTGAAATAATGAAAAATTATTACATAATGAAGTAATAAGTAATAAAACAACAAGATTCATTACTTTTTCGCCAGTAATAAGTAACAAAAACTTATTACTTTTATCGGATAACGAAATAATTAGTAAAAGTAAAGTAGCACCCGTAGTTAAGAATTCCAAAAAAATAATATATAAAATATCTTAGAACCGAGTTTCCTAAAAGAAAATTTTCAGAAAATTTATTTGCTCTTAAAACTAGAAAAACCAAAATTTTCGCATCAAAGCATCCCAAAGCTATTTCAAATAGCCTCGTTCTCATAAAACGTTCCGTGGAAGCCGAAGCGACACACTCCATCGCATACTTTGTGAAATAGATCATAGAAATTTACTCTAGGCGTGACACTTTCCCGTTCATTTTTTAAAACATTTATAACTCGAGACAGGAATAGGGGTGGCACTTTCCCGTTCCTTTCCTAAGTAACGATAAAGTGGTATCTTTTATTTCAAAAGTAAAGAGTAAAGATATAATGGATATCTTTTTCTTTCCTAAGAAAAAGGAAAGTGGCACCTTTTCTTTTCCAAAAGAAAGAAAAGCAATATCTTTTCTTTTTGCAAGAAAAAGACTTTTTTTTGCACCTTTTA